GATCTTGGTTCCTTTCGATATTCGTGCATATCGGACCGTAACTTCCTGAATTATGGCCCCTGATTGTACGAAAAATCACATTTTTAGCTTGTGGACCCTATAGAAGTCATAATTTTTATCCGATTTAAAAAACCGTTCTATTATATCACCGTTACACCCTAAAAATGACTGAGTTTGAATTTCATGAAAATCGGCCCAAAATTCGTTCCCAAATAGCGTAAGAATATTCTATATCAAGGTTGTGGACCCTATAGGGGTCACAATTTATATCCGATTTTGTTGAAACTTGAAATGTAAGTTTATAACCCAAAGATCTTGGTTCCTTTCGATATTCGTGCATATCGGACCGTAACTTCCTGAATTATGACCCCTGATTGTACGAAAAATCACGTTTTTAGCTTGTGGACCCTATAGAAGTCATAATTTTTACCCGATTTAAAAAAACGTATTATTATATCATCGTTACACCCTAGGGACGACTGAATTCGAATTCCATGAAAATCGGCCCAAAATTGACAGACAAAATGGCCGTCGTTCGTTCTCAAATGGCGTAAGAAAATGGTATATCAAGGTTGTGGACCCTATAGAGGTCACAATTTTTATCCGATTTTGTTGAAACTTGAAATGTAAGTCTATAACCCAAAGATCTCGGTTCCTTTCGTTATTCGCGCATATCGGACTGTAATTTCCTGAATTATGGCCCCTGATTGTACGAAAAATCGCGTTTTTAGCTTGTGGACCCTATAGAAGTCATAATTTTTACCCGATTTAAAAAAACGTATTTTTATATCATCGTTACACCCTAGGGACGACTGAATTCGAATTCCATGAAAATCGGCCCAAAATTGACAGACAAAATGGCCGTCGTTCGTTCTCAAATGGCGTAAGAAAATGGTATATCAAGGTTGTGGACCCTATAGAGGTCACAATTTTTATCCGATTTTGTTGAAACTTGAAATGTAAGTCTATAACCCAAAGATCTCGGTTCCTTTCGTTATTCGCGCATATCGGACTGTAATTTCCTGAATTATGGCCCCTGATTGTACGAAAAATCGCGTTTTTAGCTTGTGGACCCTATAGAGGTCATAATTTTTATCCGATTTAAAAACCGTATTATTATATCACTGTTACACCCTAAGGACGACTTAGTTTGAATTTTGTGAAAATCGGCCCAAAATTGACAGACAAAATGGCCGCCGTTCGTTCTGGAATAGCATAAGAATATGTTATATCAAGGTTGTGGACCCTATAGAGGTCACAATTTTTATCCGATTTTGTTGAAACTTGAAATATAAGTTTATAACCCAAAGATCTTGGTTCCTTTCGATATTTGCACATATCGGACAGTAACTTCCTGAATTATGGCCCCTGATTGTACGAAAAATTGCGTTTTTAGCTTGTGGATCCTATAGAGGTCATAATTTTTATCCGATTTAAAAAAACGTATTATTATATCACCGTTACACCCTGAGGACGACTGAGTTCGAATTTCGTGAAAATCGGCAAAAAATTGACAGACAAAATGGCTGCTGTTCGTTCAGTTCCTTTCGATATATGCGCATATCGAATTGTAATTTCCTGAATTATGGCCCTTGATTGTAGGAAAAATCACTTTCTTGTTAGCTTGTTCTCTATCCATCTCTCGAAAATGTGGGCGTATCCTGCCTGGCAGCCGCTGGTTATCCCATTTTGTTGAAATGTAAGTTTTTTACCCAAAGATCTCGGTTCCTTTCGATATTCACGCATATCGAATTGTAATTTCCTGAATTATGGCCCTTGATTGTAGGGAAAATCACTTTCTTTTTAGCTTGTTCTCTATCCATCTCTCGAAAATGTGGGCGTATCCTGCCTGGCAGCCGCTGGTAAATATTTATATATGTAAAGGAATTGATATATTTATTTTTATACGCCCACATCGAAATGGGGTCATATATTGCCGTCGCCCCCGTCCGTCCGTCCGTCCATCTGTCGTCCACAATTTCTTGTGAACGCTCTAACGCCAAAAGTTATCCTCCAATTGTTTTAAAATTGATATATGTTGTTTACATTAGTGAGATGAAGAATCCTATTTGATTTCAATAATTTTCGTTTATAACGTCTAGAGTTATGGCCCTTGTTTCAGTTTGTCGAAACTTGTGAACGCTCTAATGCCAAAAGTTAACATTCGATCTTTGTGAAATTTATATGCAATATTTAAATTAGGGAAACGAAGAAGGTTATCGAATTTCAGCAATTTCCGTTTATTACTTCTAGAGTTATGGCCCTTGTTTCACTTTGTTTAACCTCGCGAACGCTCTAACCCCAAAAGTTATCATCGTATCTTTCTGAAATTTATATGCATTATTTAGATTAGTGAAACGAAGAATGCTATTGAATTTCAGCAATTTCTGTTTATTACGTCTAGATTTATGGCCCTTGTTTCACTTCATTGAACCTCGTGAACGCTCTAATGCCAAAAGTTAACATCCGATCTTTGTGAAATTTATATGCAATATTTAATTTAAATTAGCGAAACGAAGAAGCCTATTGAATTTCATCAGTTTCCAATTATTACTTATATAGTTATGGCCCTTTTTTCACTTTGTTGAACTTTGTGAACGCTCTAATGCCAAAAGTTAACGTCCGATCTTTGTGAAATTTATATGCAATATTTAAATTACGGAAACGATGAAGCCTATCGAATTTAAGCAATTTCCGTTTATTACTTCTAGAGTTATGGCCCTTGTTTCACTTTGTTTAACCTTGTGAACACTCTAACCCAAAAAGTTATCATCCTATCTTTCTGAAATTTATATCCATTATTTAAATTAGTGAAACGAAGAATTCTAAGGAATTTCAGCAATTTCTGTGTATTATGTCTAGAGTTATGGCCCTTGTTTCACTTTATTGAACCTTGTGAAGCTCTAATGCCAAAAGTTAACATCCGATCTTTGTGAAATTTATATGCAATATTTAAATTAGGGAAACGAAGAAGCCTATCGAATTTCAGCAATTTCTGTTTATTATTTCTAGAGTTATGGTCCTTGTATCACTCTGTTTAACCTCGTGAACGCCTGTCTTGTAAAGGCCCCCGATTACCTACAAAGGAATAAATATGCGACAACCCTTGTCTACTGCTCGGACGATTTAGCCGCTGTGGGCGTATGTTTCGTTACCTGGCAGCCTATCTTTAATTATATTTTCTGTGATATTTGTTTTTATTTACATATATGAATAAATCTTTGTGATATTGTTTTGATTTGTCTCGTTAAATTCACCATATGTTTGGCGCAATATAGCCCGGTTGGAGCTGACGTGCCATTAAACATTTCATTTCATTTGTATTTTTAGCCTTCATAACATTTTTTTTTTGAAGTGAGTTATATTTATTATTGGTTAAACATATTTGAATCCAATAGACATATAGATTGGATCAATACGATAATATAGATGTCCAAAAAGTGCTTCTAGCATATTCCCTTGTCGAGAAATAACCAATTTTGTCAGGATCACATTTTAAGATTCTTTTTGCATTTTAATTTTCCATTAGAGAGAGAGAGAAATGGGGTTTAACATCCACTCGACACAAACTAGGTCATTTCGGGACTAACATATGGTTTAATTTTATTTCAATAATTCGCTTGCGCGAAGGGGTCTTTAGCAGTGGGAGGAAACCGGATTTTCCATTAGAAAGTCAGCTAACTTAGTTGTAAGTAAGTAACAAATTTTGTCAGGATCACTTTTTTGACATATGTAACAAATGTATAAATGGAATTGATACATGTACAGTGGACTTTGTCAAATCCGACATCGTACAGGATCGTTACAATATGTCGGATTACGCAGAGTGTCGGAATACTCAGTTTTCTCAAAACCGGAAGTACTATTGTAACTTCGAAAACCGGAAGTATTATTATAATGTAGCTTCGAATCCCCAGAAAGTTATTCGCTTTAAAATTGTCGTTAATTTATCTTCTTCATCATCTTCAGTTGATTGCACACTTGTCTTTGCTGTCACATGTTCATTGATAATCTGTCGTTCGATGTCCAGGTTGTCGTCACATGATTCGGAGAGATCCGTAGGGTGAACAAACTTAGGTATTCAGGTTCAATCGGCATGCACACCGAATGTTTCCAACTGGTGCTAGGAATATTTTTACAACTGTGAATTTGTGGGAAAATTTGTGGGTATTTGTCACAACTGTCTTACAAGAGATTATAAAATTATCAAAGTAATCAATAAAGACCTACGCGAGCGAGTTTTAATTTCACCGATAATTGATTGGTGATTGCTTGTTAATCTTTTGTAGCTTCACACCCACCGATTGAAGGCTGGATTATACAGTGTTGATTCAATGGAAATCATATGACGAAACGGCTGATTGATGTCGTAATTCGGAATATTCAGAGTATGGATTACTCAAAGATTTTTTGGCTGAAATAATAAGGAAATAAATCGGGACATGAAAATGATGTCGGATTTCACAGAGTGTCAGAGTATTCAGAATATTCTGCGTCCATTTTATAACACGTGTGCAATGCTTATGTGGAAATCTGTTTAACGGTTTCATTGGTACCGAAAGTGACATGAGTTCCAGGGTAACTTGGCATCGGAAGTGACATGAGTTCAAGGGTAACATGGCACCGGTGAAACCCGGCATTACTACATCGCAGTTCTAGTTTTGTTTTGTATTTACAAAGATATAATAATTGAAAATTTGTCATCATTCTGCAGGTGATATAAATGGGATATGGTCAAAACAAGCTAGCGTCACCTATAAATTAATCTTCGCTAGATATCTTGTGATTGGACTTTATTTCATCCGATTGAATCCTTGCTGGAAGATTTCCACCGTTAAATGTCTAAATGTTAAATAATCAGTTTGAGTACATTTTAGCGTGGATAGATATTGTGAGAAAAATGCAATGGCGATCCACAGCTTTAATAGAGAATCAAATGGAGATAACACATTATGATGTGGGTGATGACAATATTATGTTATAAATCTTTCTTTTTGTAGGTAGTAGTTGTAGGAAACCCAGCTAATACCAATGCACTGATTGCTTCTAGGTGTGCACCAACTATCCCAGTAGAGAACTTCTCATGTCTTACACGACTGGATCAAAACAGAGCTCAAGCACAGGTAAAAAAAAAAAATTTGCATTAACAGGCAACAAATATACATCCACCCCACCACCGCCGTTTTGAAGGATGGCTCTCAAATATTCAGGAACAACAAACTATGCGTAAAGATGAATTTCAAGGGGTTTCTCCTTCTGTTTATCCAAACAATCATAGCCAGTTTAGAAAAAAATTACAAAACATTCCTGCAGAAAGTTTACAAAGTTTTGGTGACAAGGGCAGTAACCCTTTGAAAAATTATTGTGCAACTCTGGATTTTAATAGGCTTCCTCCTTCAGAGTTATTTTCTGCAAAATAAGTAATTATATGTTAGATTAGGTGCATTCTCCTTACTATATGTGACATATAAGTGTCCTGGTCTGTAAAGTAAGGAAAACATAGCTTCATTTATAAAAAAAATAAACGGATTGTTACAGGTTGCAGCAAAATTAGGAATATCTAGTGAAAGTGTGGAGAGAGCCATCATCTGGGGAAATCACTCTTCTACACAATTTCCTGATCTTGCTCATGCTACAGTTACAGTTAACGGAAAGAAATCCAGTGCTTTGGAAGCCATTAAAGACGATAATTGGGTTCAAAATGACTTTATTAAGGTATTTAAATTGTATTGAATAAAATATAGTACCAGTGATCTTATAGGGCAATCAAAGTACATAATTATAAAGTGATAGTCTAATAGGAGTTGACTTTACCAGGTAAACATGCTAAAATAACTGGCATAATCATAACAAAGTAGTATCAAACCTTTAGAATGGGTGACCTTTATAAGTAGGGATGATGATTTTCCACTTCAGATATGGGCAAATTCCATTTCAGATTTTAGTCAATTCCATTTTTTTCCATTTCACAGCAGAAACACATGGGGGTAGGCCTATCACTGAATCCATTATGGTCGATCGATGTTTCTTTGATTCAGTATGATCCTTCACCAGGGGTCTCAATAACTTTTCGAACTTGATTAGCAGAACTGCTAATCAAGTTAGATAGGCTAAATTCAGGCAAATTGATTAGCAATGTCCAGTTTTGATTAGCAGTGTGTGAATATCCATTGACTACAATTTTGGAAAACTGTGATTGAAGTAAAATCTATCTGTTGAATTTTACAGTATTATGCAAAGCATGATTTCAGTCACACTATTTCAAAATATTAAGGGGATATTTTGTTGGGTGATAAAAATAGACACACTCCGTCATTTCATTTTCGGACGATACCAGGATTTTCCGCGAATCCATTTGACAATGTGAATTCCGCATTTTGCGGCTTTTCCACGATCGCGGAAAATCATCATCCCTATATAAGCAAGATTTATTATCAGTAAATATATAATATATGGTAGTATGATGATGATAGTGTCAGTTTCTGATGTATTATGTAGACCGTTTAAACACTTTAGGTCAGATATCTTTAGCTCTAATTAAGTGAGAATAATGAAACTTGGTGTACAGTTTCATTACATCAATACCTTGACTAAGTTTGATAATGAGCATTTTTATACGCCCACATTTTCATGTGGACGTATATTGTCGTCGCCCCTGTCCGTCCGTCCACAATTGTTTGTGAACAGTCTACAGGTCACAATTTTTATCCGATTTCAATGAAACTTGAAATATAGGTTTATCACCCTAGGATCTCGGTTCCTTTCGATATTGGCATCTATCGGACCGTAACTTCATGGATTATGGCCCCTGATTGTACAAAAATCACGTTTTTGGCTTGTGAACACTGTAGAGGTCACAATTTTTATCCGATTTTGTTGAAACTTGAAATGTAAGTTTATAACCCAAAGATCTTGGTTCCTTTCGATATTCGCGCATATCGGACCGTAACTTCATGAATTATGGCCCTTGATTGTACGCAAAAACGTGTTTTTTGGCTTGTGGACCCTATAGAGGTCATAATTTTTATCCGATTTAAAAAAACGTATTATTAAATCACCATTACACCCTAAGGACGGCTGAATTCGAATTTCGTGAAAATCGGCCCAAAATTGACAGACAAAATGGCCGCCCCTCGTCCTCAAATAGCGTAAAAATATGGTATATCAAGGGTGTGGACCCTATAGAGGTCACAATTTTTATCCAATTTTGTTGAAACTCGATATTTGCGCATATCGGACAGTAACTTCCTGAATTATGGCCCCTGATTGTACGAAAAATCACGTTTTTAGCTTATGGACCCTACAGAGGTCATAATTTATATCCGATTTAAAAAAAAATGTATTATTATATCACCGTTACACCCTAAGGACACCTGAGTTCGAATTTCATGAAAATTGGCCAAAAACTGACAGACAAAATGGCCGCCCTTCGTTCTCAAATAGCGTCAAAATATGGTATATTAAGGCTGTGGACCCTATAGAGGTCACAATTTTAATCCGATTTTGTTGAAACTTGAAATGTAAGTTTATAACACAAAGATCTCGGTTCCTTTCAATATTTGCGCATATCGAATTGTAATTTCCTGAATTATGGCCTTTGATTGTAGGAAAAATCACTTTCTTTTTAGCTTGTTCTCTATCCATGTCTCGAAAATGTGGGCGTATCCTGCCTGGCAGCTGCTGGTCTGCTCAGGGTAAGCAGAGCGATAAGCAAATTGATTGGCCGAGACTTTAGAACACAATAACTCTCATTTTAATTGAGCTAGAACATTCCAACTTGGTGTAGGTGTTTATTAGATCAATGCCTTGATGGTGTTCGAAGATGAACAATTTGATTGTTTGATGCTTTGGGACACGATAACTTTAGTTATAACTCCCCTTCTAATTGAGCTAGAATGTTCAAACTTGGTGTAGGTGTTTATTAGGTCCATTCCTTGATGGAGTTCGAAGATGAGCATTTTCTGCTTAGGGTAAGCAGAGATAACCAACTTGATTGGTTGATGCTTTGGGACACGATAACTTTAGTTCTAATTAAGTGAGAATAATGAAACTTAGTGTATAGTTTCATTACATCAAAACCTTGACTAAGTTTGATAATGTTCTGCTCTGGGTAAGCGCAGCGATAAGCAATTTGATTGGTCGAGACTTTGGAATTGAGTTAGAATGTTCACACTTGGCGTAGGTGTCTATTAGGTGAATGCCTTGATAGAGTTCGGGGGGGGATCGCGTGGCTAAGTGGGTAAGACGCTGGCTTGCTAGCCTGGAGGTCGGGTGTTCAATCCCTGCATTGGCCGAGAAAGTTCATTCAGATTTTCCGGGGTGGTTTCCCGTTGTCAGTGATGCAGGACGGAGGGCCTGTCAAGGACAGCTGTCTAGTCATTCGGATGGGACGAAAAAACTAAGGTCCCGTGTACACATTGACGTGCACGTGAAAGATCCCTTGGCAGTTGGAATTCGATATAAGAGTATTCCGTAGTGCCGCTGCCCGGGCAAAATTTCCCTCATAGCACACTGTATGGCGTATGCCCGTCTTCATTAGCCCAGGTTAGGAGCAGAACAGTAGGACGTTAAACCTCATTTCATTTCATTTGATAAGAGTTCTAAGATGAGACTTTTCTACTTAGGGTAAGCAATTTAATTAGTTGTTGCTTTGGGAGACGATAACTTTAGTTCTAAGTAAGTGAGAGTGAGGACACTTGGTTTATAGCTTTATTACATCAATACCATGACTAAGTTTGATAATGAACATTTCCTGTTGAGGGTAAGCAGAGCGATAAGCAATTTGATTGGTCGAGACTTTGAAACATGATAACTCTCCTTCTAATTGAGGTAGAATGTTCAAACTTGGTGTAGGCGTTCATTAGGTGAATGCCTTGATGTAGTTCGATGATGAACATTATCTGCTTACGGTAAGCAGAGATAAGCAATCTGATTGGTTGATGCTTTGGCGCACGATAATTTTGGTTTTGATTAACTGAGAGTGATGAAACTCCGAATATAGATTCATTATATCATTACCTTGACTAAGTTTGATAATGAACATTTTTTGCTGAGGGTAAGCAGAGGGATAAGCAATTTGAATGGTCGAGACTTTGGAACACGATAACTCTCCTTCTAATTAAGGTAGAATATTCAAACTTGGTGTAGGTGTTCATTAGGTGAATGTCTTGATGGAGTTCGATTATGAACATTGTCTGCTTATGGTAAGCAGAGATAAGCAATCTGATTATTTGATGCTTTGGGGCACGATAACTTTGGTTATAATGAAGTGAGAGCGATGAAACTCTGAATATAGATTCATTATATCATTACCTTGACTAAGTTCGATGGTGCGAATTTCTGCTTAGGCTGAGGAGCGATAAGCAATTTGATTGGTCAAGACTTTGGAACATAACTCTGCTTTTAATTAAGGTAGAATGTTTAAACTTGATGTAGATGTTCATTAGGTGAATGTCCTGCCTGGGATCAATGATTAAGATTTCGAGCTAAAGCTAAGCAGAGCTAATCAATTTCATTGGTCGATGCTTTGGGACAAGATAATCTTGATTCTATCTGATAGAGAGTGATGAAACTTGTGTATAGTTTGATTGCTTGATACTTTTGAAAAAAAATTATTGTGCGATTAATTAATATGTGTCATCCATTTATTTTGGGATATCGGCGGGGGACATCAGACATCAGCCTCACTGTTGGCTTGTCTAAAATAGTATGAATATATCTTGTGATAAAAATATTTAAAATAATAACATTAAAATATTTATTTCCAAAGTTATTTTTATTTGCAGACTGTGCAGTCACGCGGTGGTGCTGTTATTAAAGCTCGTAAATTGTCTAGTGCAATGTCAGCAGCTAAAGCCATCTGTGATCATATGCGTGATTGGTGGTTTGGGACTGGTGTGAGTAGAAATAATATAACTAAATAACACCTTCATAAAGTTCTGATGCATGCCTGTAAATATATAGTTGTGCAAATTTTCTGCTCTATTGATATTCCACCTGACATGTCTTTTAACTGATATTTATAAAACCACAGAGAAAAAGACATCTGTATCTGTGACCGACAAAATGTCCGGCACCAGAGGAATTGTACCTGACATACATGTGTCTGACAATTCACAGGTGTCATATTTCCATATATTATTTGTCATAGCAAAAATTGTAAGTTATATCAAGCATGTGTTGATTATAAGTTCATTGTCACTTTTTGTCGAGTATTGAGAGTCGCTCAGTACAATTCAATTTAATCTAAATCTGTTTTATATTTTATAGGATCGATGTGTATCTATGGGTGTGCTTTCAACTGGCAATCCCTATGGTATTGCTGAAGGTATTATGTACAGTTTTCCATTGACTATTGGTACTGATAGAAGCTACAAGATTGTATCTGGTTTGAACATCACTGACTTTGCTAGAGAAAAAATGGATTTGACACAAAATGAGCTGATTGAAGAGCGCGATATGGCTGTATCTATTTGTGATGGATGACTATTCCCCCGATTATAAATTAGTAGCATTGATTGTTACAACAGTCAATACATTACTGGTGTCTCCAGTTTAATATTATACAAATTTCTAGGTACAAATTGGAGTGGTTTTAGAACAATATCATGAAATAATATTGATAATGATTCCTAAAAATATCCTGTTCTTGTTATTTACTTATATAGCACTCTTGAAGAGAGTGTCAGGTCTGGCGGAAGCAATTCTTGATTGGTGGTTGGTGGATCACATGGCTAAGTGGGTAAGACGCTGGCTCGCTAGCCTGGAGGTCGGGTGTTTGATCCCTGCATTGGCTGAGAAAGTTCATCCAGATCTTCCGGCGTGGTTTCCCCTTGTCAGTGATGCAGAATGGAGGGTCTGACAAGGACAGCTGTCTAGTCGTTCGGATGGGACGAAAAACCGAGGTCCCGTGTACACATTGGCGTGCACGTAAAAGATCCCTTGGCAGTTGGAATTCGATATAAGAGTAGGCGATAGTGCCGCTGCCCGGGCAAAATTTCCCTCATTAGCCCAGGTTAGGAGCAGAACAGTAGGACGTTAAACCCCATTTCATTTCATTTGATTGGTGGTGGGGGGGGGCTACCATACTAGGACTTTAGGGCCGTCTAGGCCCCGGAAGCTCCTTGGGATCTAGATCGTCAGAGACGCTTTTTGTGCGATTTCTGGCTTATCAAATTACTCGGCAATGGCATGAAATTTTATTTCCTTTCTAAATCCCTTACAATGAAAATCAGACCGAAACTGTCCAACAAAATGGACAGAACGAATCTTTCAGTCAAATGATCACTCCCCTTTAGGCAAATAGTATTTGTATGAAAGCATGTAACGTCCAGGTTGTGGGCCATCTAGATGTCACAATTATTCTTTCAATTTAGAGGAAACTTAAAGCGTCAAGTGGACGTTAAACCCCATTTCTCTCTCTCTCTCTTTTGCCCGAATGTCATGGGGTGAGTGTTTCCTGAAGCCTATTCGTTTAAATTGTTTGAGGCACTCTTTGTCGGACATCTTTCTTTTAGCATTTGTAGTTTACCCCAATACTTGAGTGACAGTTCCTCGTGCCTGAGATCAAGTGGAAGCTCTCCCATCTCGTGTAATAGGGCAACTGTTTTGGTTCCTATAGCTGCTCTCTTTACTAGTCGTATTGCTTTACTTTGTATTGCGTTTAGTTTATTGAGTTGTATATCACTTGCATTTGCATAAGCCAGACATCCGTAGTCGATTAACGAGCGGATGAGTGATCTGTATATTAACATAAGAGAGCTACTATTGGGGCCCATTGCATCACTCTCAGTCATATTCTTACAATTTGTCTCACATTTTGATATCTAGTCGCACTTTCACATTTTGTCGCGGCTTATGCTCATCCGCAGCACATAATCCAAATATTTTACTATTATAAATTAATCTCTTCGCATTTTCAACACTAAAAACTTTCACATTTTGTCGAGGTTTATTCTCATCCGCAGCACGTAATCCAAATATATTACTAGTATAAATTAATCCATTGGCATTTTCTACACTACAAACTTGAGAACTGTACAATTCCAACTCGTCTTCATTTAATGGCTGTTCTTGTTTTTGTCTGTCAGTGGATGTCCCTCGCGAAGTTAATGAATTGATCTGTGCGGAAATGAGCAAATGTACCTTGCTTATCAAAAAAGTTAAAATTCAATCTTTTGTACTGATCTCGAAGTGTCACCATATTCCTATGCAATTGGTATTTTTCCTCTTGTTTGGCAGAATTCGACTCATCTGCATGGCTTTAATTTCTTGTTCTGTGAAGGATCGGGCTTCTAAATCTTCGCTATCATTGAAATCTCTTGCAGAACTGATATTCTCGGTCTTAGAAATATATCTGTGACATATAAAGTAGGATTCTTCAACGAATTCCCGCATTCATTTCTGCCATCCACTACAATCGACGCAGCCAGGATGTTGGCAAAACAACAAGAAATGGCTATTGTACAAAATGATTGGATGACGTTTGCTTTTCTCAACCAATCAATATCCCTGTTATGAACATTTTCCCTGACCTGATTTAAACCGTGAAATGCACGTGCGGTGTACTGACATCATTTGCCTGATTAGAAATAAACGTTTGGGATGAGATAATTGGGGGGCTCTAAATGGGAAACTTTGATAAATTTGTGAAATGAAAAATGCTTTTGAAATTGGGAAAAATAGAAAAAATCTCTATTTCTCGAAAAAGTATTTAGTATAAGTCAGTTATATACCTTGTTTTCAAGGTGTATGGGTTGATACACCGTCTCTTTTTTGAGTGGAGCTCCCCACTCAAAAAAGAGACGGTGTATCAACCCATACACCTTGAAAACAAGGTATATAACTATTACATGTTGAGTGTTTTCGATGTGCGACTTACTATGCCATCGATATGAGGCTTCCAAGATAATTTAGAGTCGAATGTCATGCCAAGAAATTTGGCCTCTGTTTTAAATTCAATTTTCGTGCCATTTAGATTTAAATCAATTTTCCTATTGCTATCGGTTGGATGGAACAGCATTGCTACTGTCTTTCCCTCTGATATTTTAAACCCCCAGTCATTTGCCCACTTAAAAATTTGTTCTAAAGTGTATTGCAGTGATTTTTTGATTTTGCCTATATCCTTTGATGCTTTCCAGAACGAGCTGTCATCTGCAAACAGCGCCGATTCTGTGTCCTTCCCCCCCATAACTAGGAAGATCATTTATTATTATGTTGAAAAGTATTGGGCTGATAACGGATCCTTGCGGTGTTCCGTTTTCCATTTTGAATTTTTCGCTCAGACAGTTCCCTACGCGTACTCTGATATGGCTATCATTGAGAAAGTCTTCTATCCACTTGTACATTCGGTCTTTGATTTTTGTGTTGTGGAGTTTGTGTAAAAGACCGTCCACCCATACAAGGTCAAAGTCCTTTGTTAAGTCACCGAAAATTGCACAAAGGTATTGTTTGGCTGTAAATGCTTTGGAGATGTCATGTTGCAATCTGATGATATGGTCTGCAGTAGACCTGTCAGAGCGGTAGCCACTTTGCCAATTTGTGAAGACAGTATTGCTTTCACAGTGATACTTAAAGATGGGTTCCTGCGTACAAACTGGGTGATTTAATGGTATATATGGACTAAAAACATATTCAAACTAATTAATTTGTCATAATTATGCTTCAAATCCTTCTCAAACATCGTAATTGCAAAGGAATGCCCTGCTATTAAAATTCGATCAAACCAGGTCATGTTTACGTCACGTCTTGGAAATCAGAGGAGAATTCATTGCATACATAAAACGATGTTGTCTTTAATCGCTTACTATTTATTACAAATATCGAATCCTAATTAAATTCTCGGATTATCCACTACCCGCGTGTTTTTCTGTCATTTTTATCTCGGAAAGTGTTGTACGTCTAACTCTTCATAAAGTTTATCAACTTGTACATCAAGCGCTCTATGTTCGGGTGTGACCTATGACATTACGCTTGCAGAAATTCTTAATCGTCGGGCTGTTGATTAGGGGAACTCTTAAATTTTTGTCCTGTATACGCTCCATGAGTCTTTTTCGGGGAATCCAGTATTTTTCTAGTAAGATTGGATATCTCAACTTTCCATATATACCAAAATTGCCATACTTTTATTGGAAATAACCACCCGATAAATACTTTTCTGGGAACCCATCTTTAAGTCTGTTTGTAATTATTGTTTCTAATGTTTTGCATAGAGTTGATGTGAGACTGACTGGACGATACGACGTTATTTCATTTTTGTCTTGATTGTGCTTATGCAGGGGAATGACTGAGGCAGTCTTCCATTCTTGTGGTGTTTTTCCTTTAGACCATGAGAGATTAAAGATATCTAGGACTAACGCCAATGCTTTCTCGGGTAGATTTTTTAGCATTGTGTATTTCACACAGTCTAGCCCTTCTGTACTGTCAGATTTAGCCTGCAATGCTTTTTTAGCTCATCTATATTAATGGGACTATTGAGGTCTGTCTCGTTATCTGCGTCTTTGTGCATTATTTTACGTTGATTTTTTAAGAAATTGTTTTTATTTTCCCTAAAAGCTTCATTGTGCTGGCTGTTGCTACAGACGTCGGCATAAGTCTGTCCTAACAAGTTTGCCTTGACACTTGTGCGTGTTATTTAAGGCCGTTTCGGTTTTTATAATTTAGTAAAGGTATATTTTGTCTTACTTTTTTTCCAGTGATGCCTGATATCTTGTTCCATACCGTTTTCATGCTCGTTCGATCATTGAGTGAACTACAGAAGTTTTGCCAGTTTTCTTCCTTAGCCTGGTTGATTTCTCTCTCCGCAGAAAGTTTGGCCTCGAGGTATTCAGATCTAGTTTCTTCGTTCGGCCTACGTTTGTATTTTCGTAGAGCCGATTTGTGGATGTTGACTAGCGCTTGTATCTGGTCTGACCACCAAGGTTTGGGAGAGTTTCTGGTTGTTTCTTTTGTTCGGGGGATAGCTTGCTCTGCTGAGCCGATTATTGCCTTAGTGAGATTGTTTGAAAAAGTGTCTATGTTATCATGCCTTAACAACTCAAAATCCCAGCAGTTGCACAAGTTTTTATATAGTTCCCAGTTTGCCTTTTCCATTTTCCACCTAGCCTGACATTTAACGCTGTCTGTGTTGGTGTTGCAAGCTATAGTGGTATGGATTGCTACATGGTCGCTGCCTAATGTCTCGTTCCCTATTCCCCAATTGCATTGGGGGAACAGTCTTGTTGACACCATTGTCAGGTCTACATGAGTCCAGGGCCGGATTAACCATGGGGCACAGGCCCCAGGGCCCCCCACAAAAATCTCAGTTACTTCTAAATGGCTCCACATAAGTGCCTGAAATGCCAGGAAATCACATTTCCGGCCTCCAATTTCTGAAAATTTTCAGGTGGGGGGTGGGTTGTCCCCGAATCCCCCTTGTGGGGCTTCCCGCCTTTGGCACTCGCGGTGGCCGGCTTCACCGGCCACAGCTCGGCAGTCGGTGATCAGGGGCCCCCCACATGTTCCAGGCTCCAGGGCCCCCACCATGCTTAATCCGACGTGACATGAGTCCCTTTTTTTACTTTGTTTTCCAACAAAAGTTGGCTCACTGTCATTGTCGTTGAGTAGTAGAAGATTGCTACCTTCTATCTACTCATATAGTTTG